TGAATCTAAATAGTTAACCCCACGCTCTGGAGTAAAAGAGCACTGGATTCTCTATAAATGGCACACTGAACACAATGGGTGCAATAGGACCAGTCAGAACAGCTGCACACCTCCATTTCTGTTTGGAAAGGGATGAAGGATGGATGGTCAGGACTAAAGACTCTGTAAGAGAAACCATTTCTGTTCCAGGATCTCTGAATTGCAAGGGGAGGATTTGTGTGTAGATCAAAAAAGAAAACCTAATCACCAAGGTCTCTTTCATACTGAAGGATCCACTTCTCTTCGGGCCATACATTCCACCTAAGCAGGGGTGAAGAATTTGCAATTCCATTTCCATCCCTCCTCTGATGCACCAAAGTTGGATGGCCCAAATTGGCCATCTAGCTGTTTTGCAGAGAGGGAGAAGCACACAAGGTGGATTCTTCCCACCCTGCAGAGGATGCTCATAATTCTTTGATTTCCTTGGACTGAATCCTTTAAGAAACTCACTAAGTGTACTTCACAGGCTTGCACTGATATGCTTGTGGAACAGCAAGAGCAAAACAGCCTAGGTAGAAGCTCTCCATCTAATGAAAGAGAGAAAAGGCAAGCTATGCAGCATATATAGGGTATGTGTGTGAATTAGTGGGTGGAGGGGAGGGGAAGAAAGAGAGAGAGAGTGAGAGCGAGAGCGAGAGCGAGAGAGAGTCGTATACCTTTCTATAAATTTGATACCTGAAGGCACACTGCTATGCATATTTAGATAGAAAAAGTTCTATATTTCCCAGCATTCCCTACCCAGCAAGGCTGACTGGGGAACGCTGGGCTTCACAGACTTTTTATCTGTCTAAGTATGCATAGGCTTGCACTCTTAATTGCTGACACACTTGAGATAGTTTCAAAGACAGTCTGTGAAGTACATTTATGGGAAGAGTTCATGAAACAATGTACCTAGTTAAAAGATAGCAGGTTTTTAAATCAACCTTAAAATAGTTGAAAACAGAAATAGTGAACTTTAACTTTTAGTTATGTTAAAAAGAAAATGACTACTTAAGAATTAATTTGATTCATAAGAAATGCATGAAACATGGGAAATTGTCTATTAGTGTGCTTTTTCATTTTCAAATTCAATGAGTGGTTTCACTTTCCAAAAGCAGACCAGTTTATTCAGAAGTTACACGTGGCCTCCATTTTAAAATTCTTAATTATTTTTTAAAAGTAATACCATGATGCATTTGAAGCCAGAACATTCCTTGGAAGCAAAAATTACAAAACTGAGGCTGTCACGCTTTATCATGAGAAGCCAAGACTATTGTCATGAAAAGGCAAGACTTACTGAGAAGACAATCATGCTAGGAAAAGTTGAAGGCAGAATAAGATGAAATATGAGTTGGATCTTTCGTACAGAAGAAGTCATAGTCTTGAACTTACAAAAGCTGAGCAGGGCTATCAAGGACAGGATGGAGGGCCTTCATTCATAGGGACACCATGAGTTGGAGATGACTTGATGCTGCATGTATGTAGCAGCCACAATGCACTATTGCATCAAGGGCAAAATTTTAACAACAGCGCAGGATACTCCTATCAGTGTTGAATGAGAAGCAAGTACCATGAAGCTTACTCCCAGAGAAGCAGGTGCAGGGTTGCAAAATGTGCCAAGGTCCATGTGCAGAGTTGTAATTTATTGTTTTAATAGCTGTAGTAGTCTATAGAGAAATATTTGGGATGCTGCTGCCTTCAACATGCAAAGGTGGCAGGAACAGACTATGGCTGTGCTTGCATAACATTAGACATTCAGGCAAAATAAACTCTATTATGAGCACACTGTGGACTTTTCATTAAGGTGTTGCCCTGTACATTGATAAATTTTCCTCATTAGTGCATGTGTGGCATCTCCCTACAAAGCAGAAGCATGTCTTCGCTCTCTGGTAGTGAGTTTTAGCCTGGATCTAAACTCTGAAACATTTCAGATGCCAAAGTAGGGTGCCATACCTAGAAAACTGTGGCTGCCAAAGGCCTTCTAATAGAATATGCAAAGGCAACCCCCAGCTTGCCACTGAACATACACTCAGCAAGGAGAAGCCACTAATGTCAAAATCAATAGACATTTCTAGTCCACCTTTCCTCTAAGGAGCCCATGGTGCTGTATAGGATCCCTTTCTTCTCCATTTTATCTTCATAAGAACCCTGGGAGGTGGGTTAGGCTGAGAGCCAGTGAATGACCCAAAGTTTTCTAGGGAGTTTCATGGCTAAACAGAACCTCATCCCCCAAGTCGCCGTCTAACATTCCGATACACCATATTGTCTCAGTTACGGCTCCTTGCTGAGCTGACTTGTACAAGACATGGGTTTGCAAATATGTGACACTATGATGCTGCGAAGTTCATTTTAGTGTAGAAGAAGTAGTTCCAAGCCACATTTTATTTGACTTAGTCTCTCTCTCTCTCTCTCTCTCTCTCTCTCTCTCTCTCTCTCTCTCTCGGGGGAAGCAGATTACCTGAAGTTGGCTGCCTCCCACACAGACCTCCCTGGTCTGGTCACTGCTCTCTCCAAAATCAGAGGCTTTGAGGATGCTCTTCTGGCTTTTGCTGGCAGGGCAGAAGATGACTGACTGCTCCCAGCCCTGCAGGCAGCCTTTCTTCCTTTGGCTGGCCTCTGAGCACATATAGGTTGGTGACACTGTTTGGAGCTGGAATGTACTCAGCTGGGACCCGAGATGCCTTTGGATCTGGTGAATCCTCGGCTTCTAGTCTCCTTTTCCTGTCCTGCCAACAGGCATGTGCCCTTCACTCCTGCTCTGACTTCAGAAAAAGAGCCACATCGTTCTGCCAATGCTGAGAGGGATAAGGGAGATCCACAATTGAATCTTCTCCCCCACTGATCCGTTTCCGGTCTTGAAGAAGGAGGTTTACAGGATCTTGCAGCACTCCAGATGCCATCTATGGGCCAAAGGTTGCTCTGTTGATCAACTGTTTTGTTTCCATTTTACTTTTCCTCTAGGATTAGTTATTCCATGAGGCATTTAATAGATATATGTAACAAATACATAATAGATCTGCTCTCATCTTACACTGTGTTTTCAGTGTTGTAACTGTATTATGCATTATTTTAATTATATTTTAATACACCAGCCTCACAAGGTTCAAGCCAAGATTCAAAATGTAGCAACAGCCACACTAGTATTTTTTTCTGGTATTGTATGTTGCTGTCATTAGCTGGTTTGGGCACTTAACGGCAGAAAGGTATACATTAAACAAGGGTGTATCCCAATGCTTGTTTAGACAGGGGAAAAAAGGGCCTATGACTCCCAGCACCCCCTCCCCCGAAACAGGTGTGTAATCAGGCATAGGACTGTGCCTGAAATGAATTTTAATTCCCATGTTTTGTATGGCGATAGGTATTATCCTAATTGCTCAGCATCCAGATTATGTTCTAGCACTCCGGTGAAAAATGCAGTTGGTGCCATCTGGATAGATGTACACTCATTTGCATCCCTTGGATGCTTTCTTCCCCTGCTCATCCCCTACTGCTCTTAAGGGATGAAAAAGACGCTTCGCCAGTGAACCATAATAAAAGTAACTCTTGCAATGAAGCATTCCGCGAGTATTTGTTGCAAGAGGCAGAGTTTTTAAAAGCCAAGTAGCTGAATTCTGCATAACCACACTCTTTCCAGCAGATGGCTGTTACACGTCAAGGGTCATCTCCTTGTCTTACGCTGAAATCCTAGATATGTCTACTCAGAAGTAAATCCCACTGACATCAGTAGCCTTACTGTCAGGTAAAGGGGCAGAGGACTCCAGCCCTAAACCCATCAAAAATCCTCCTTCATTGCTGTCGGGGTTTTCACTGCCTTTGTGAGCAGGCTCGTCGTGTTTTGTGTGTTTTTTAGATTGTTTTCTGTCATCTGTTTATACTCCTCCTCCTCTGTTCCTAAAACGGGATCAGCTTCATGAAAAATAACTGAGCCAAGTAAATGATCCAAGTTGCACTGGGACGAAGCCAGCACAGCTCAAATAAAGTTTTGCGCGCGCACGCGCGTGGGCGCGTGCTCGAAACCCCACCAAGCAGCGTCCCTTCCAAGTTCCTATTCAGACTTCCCCGTTCTCCCGTGTCTGAAAGCGGTGCAGGAGTAGGAGCCCGGCAGCGTAGGAGTTAACAAGGCAGCGCGTGTGAAGTTGAGCTAAGTGAGTAATGCACCTCGTTAAAGTTTTCAGTGCGGCTGCAATTGGGAGAGTGAGAGAGAAGGGAAAGCGAGAGTGGGAGCCGTGCCTTCAGGAGCCGAACTCGGTCGGAAGGGGTCATGAACGCAAGGTCAGTCAGTGGTCCTCGCGAAACGCTGAGGCGCTTTTTCCAGTTTCTTTCCTCACGACCTCAGAAAGAGGGAGCAGTCGGGAAGAGCGCTTAGCTCCCGACGCTTGTGCATCCTCCTCTTCAGTGTGAAACTTCTTCCGTGGCTTATTAAAAGCGGATTTTTCAAGAACCCCTGTGAGGAGGGGTGGGGGAGCGCTTCGGAGTGCGCAGCGTTTGAGAAAGTAAAGGGTCCATTTTATTGAGTCAGAACACGCATCCACCTTTGTGCCATCTGGGCTGGTGCTTGGCTTTGCAGGCCCTGACTTGAGTTGGGGATTAAGAGCCTCCTTCACTCGGGCTTGGCATAGAGTTGTGAAAGGTGTTAAACAGGTTGAGTTGCTTTTATGCTGTGGGAGGAATAATTTCTTTCTCCCCTGAGCTGTTTTTGGATGATCAAGTCTACTAAGGCAAGGCAAGCTACAAAACTGCCACTCTCCCAAAGTCAGGAACGGCTGCTTCACCTCCAGGTATGCCAAAGTAATGTTTGCCACCAAAGTGGCGAAGCGGGAGGGGGAAATCTCAGGCATGCCGTTCCGAGATAAAGTGGAGCACTGTGGGTGGTTCCCAAAGCGCGCCTGTAAGCGGCGGCCTGCTCAGAAAGGGGGAGAGGAGGAGGGAGGCGTGTGTGTGCGCCCAAACACAGTCGTGTGTTTCACAGAACACCTTCTGTCTTTAACGAGTGGGATCATTTTATGGCATTCACAGTTTATGTACTGTTTATATCACATTATTTTAAGATAGACTGATCCCTCTGTGGTACATTCCCAAAAGAGCATATTGCCCCACAGAATCACTTTACTTGGAATGGAACAAACGGGATCCTCTCAGTTGGAGAGATACTGATCTGCACCCTGGAGCAGAATGTGGGTCTCTCCTGGTGTTTTTTTTTTTTTTCTTTTTTTTTTTTACTATTGGGTGTAATTCTGCTTCTTGCTACTTAACTTGCAAACGACTAATGCTAGACTTGGGCTAGAAGAGAGTGGAGGAAAAGTCACCCTGTGCATTGGCTCATGAAGCTTTGCTTTACCTGGTAGGTGGTGGCATACATTTCATAACATACAAGTAATCCGGTTCTGTAATTCCCCCATCTTCTGTTCTTCACACAGGATGATGACTTTCAGATTCCAAAATCTCAAGTATCCTTCCTGCAACACTTCCGAGCCACCCCCTTTGTTCCAGTAAGTATAATGCTGATTGTTCTGTCTCAGCTTGTGACTGGAGTTTTTCATGAAGAACAAGAACAGCAACCACAACCTCAGCATGGATGATCTCACTTTATTCGACATGCTAGAGTGCCCAGTATGCCTGGAGAAGCTGGATGTCTCAGCCAAGGTGCTCCCATGCCAGCACACCTTCTGCAAGCCCTGCCTCCAGAGAATCTTGAAATCGCACAAAGAACTGAGGTGTCCCGAATGTCGAACCCTTGTGCTGTGCAGTATTGAAGAACTCCCTGCCAATTTGTTTTTGATCCGCTTGTTGGATGGAATCCAGTTTGGACCAAATGTGATGAAATTTGGATCACTCCAAAGATCGGGGGTCCTCTCCTCTCCTGCCACCATCAGGAGAGTCTGGGGAGAGCCAAGAGCTTTACAACTCAGTCCGCATAGGCTGCTTTCCAGTCCCAGGATCTCTGTGGAAGGGGTAAGGAAGACCATTTCTTTTATCACCAACTACCTTAGCAGGACATTTAAAGGACACTTGCCATTTTAAGTTGTTATGAGCCATCCAGTCCTCTCAGCTTATGGCAACCCTGTGAACAGATGCCCCTCCCCCCCATGTCCTATCCTTTACAGCAAGCTCGAGGCTGTGGCTTTCTTTCTTTTATTTATCTATCGATTTATATCCTGCCTGTATAGCTTGAATCCCTCTCATATTTGGCCTTCCTCTTCTTTTGCCTTCAACTTTCCCTAGCATGATTGTCTTCTCCAGTGATGCATTTTAAGGGGTTGAATTCAGTTAATTACTGAACTGAGTTCTTTCCAAGGTAACCAGCTACCTTAACTGGATTTAAGCAGCAAAGTTTCCTTTAAGTTTAACTGTATTCTGAGTGGAACAATTTGAAGCTAGGAATCTTGAGTTTTCAGGGATTACCATCTCCAGCTGAGCTTGAAATTGTGCTACCAGTACATTGTGGTACTTCTATTTCCAATCCTAGATTAAATCAGGGAACGGAGAATTTATACATAAGAGAGAGCAAAACTACTTTCACACCTGTCAGGGACTGAGGAAGGTTTGATTTTCACAGTGCTAAAAAAAAGTCTTGTCCTCCACAGTTACAACATTAGGGGGTAGGGTTTTTGGCCCTTTAAAGGGGTATGACTAGATCTGAATCTGGATTTTAAAAATAGGTCAGCTGTGCCCTACATTTGCCCAGTTACTAGTCATACTAGTCTTTCTGTTCTCTGGGGCATTTCATAAAAGCTTATCAGGAGCTTTCCCCTCCTCCTGTGCTGTGTTGACTTCAGTCATGCTGAAGGCACAGAGTATGTGGATTTGGGGGCTTGGCAAAGACAGAGGTTTTAGCATAAGGAAACCTATGGTTGTATATGCTTCTTAAACAGTTTTGGAAGAACATGACTTGGCAAAGAGCTTACCTTATGCAGTTTGCTAAGCATTTTGTAAGTAAATGACAGGGAGTGTATGACTCATGAAGAGTCCTGTTGTAATTTTCTTTCATTACTGGTCACAGAAATCCCTATTCCAAATACAGACATCTTAAGGAAACCACAATCCTGTTTTTATTGGGTCCCCAACAAGATAAAGTTAGGTGAGCACATTATTTCTCAGTCAAAGATGTGACACCACCTTTGATTTAAATTCATTAGGGCAGCAGCCCAGAATAATCAACCAGAGCAAGTTCTAATGTAGGAAAACAACCCAGTGTCGGCTTCTGCACCTGTCAAACCTGTAATTAATCTGTAACCTAGATCAGTTATTGACTGGTTATCAGTCTAGTTTCACCCACCTGTTCACATTCACATTGCAAAGGTATTTGCAATCTTCCTTGTGTAATTCTGTTTATTCATGAAGTGTGGCATCTACCACATTGCACTCCTGCTCAACTGCCACCAAAATAAACCCGACACAGCAATGCAAGCCAGATCCACTACATCGGGGCTTCATTTTCCTAAGCAAACATTTACTGCAGCTAAGGAATGCCAGCATCTTACTTGAAAAGAATAATAAACCCCCTTAACATTTCAAATTATAGGTAAATCTAGGCAATAATTTTATAGATTGCCTAGATAAAAGATGAAATGCAGCAGTATACAAGCATCCACCAGCAAGGCATGGCATGTCCAGATTCAGAGGAATTCATGGCTTGTGAGGTTTTATTAATGTGTAACATCTGGCCAACAAGAGATGACTGTAAGTATTAATAACAGAAGAGCCAAAATTTCAAAGGAATATATAAAATGAAAAACTCTGTAATGAAAATGGACTAATTGTCAGTACCGGTCCCTAAAGGCCAAGTTCGACTTGGTGATCAAAGTAGAAAAGGTCTCAAAACCCTCCTTGTTTGAAATCTTATCTTCTCACACTGCTTTATTAACAAGACAAGTCTGTGAATGGTTATTCAAGACTAATTCTCACTGAGTTCAATAGGATTTGCTCCCGGGTAGTTGTGAGGAAGATTACATTTATGTCCTTTCATTTTTGTTATTATTTGTTTAACTATAGTTAACACTTGTCATCATTCAGGATAGGTATAGGCCTCGTGTTAGTAATATGCTAACAGTAATATCTGTATAAAATTATACAGATACCAGAATTAAGACCTTTAAAATTCAGGTGTCAACATGACAAAAGAAGGATAAGAGTGCTTTCCTATGCATGCTTACCCTGGGAAAACTCCCAGTTGGGAGTTTAGACTTTTTCTGTCAAAGCATGCATAGGATTGTACCCTGAGCTACTCTGGGAGTTTCAGAAAACAGAATCCTAATGTCTTCTACCTGTGCCATAGATTGATCATTTGTGAATAAAGCACATCAGACTGAGGACTGGGGAATCAAGATGGTTTTCAGAACAATGGGAGAGATTCTTCACAATAGGAGAAGGAAAACAAAGCTTGCAGCTATTACAGAAGATTGTAAATATACACACACTTAGGGATTGCAAGTATATTGGCTTAGTGAATGGAGATTTACATTATGCAAGAGACCAGTAGGGATTATACATGATTTGATTGAAATAGATGATGGACTTGAGCGATGCATTGCTAGTGAATGTAATGCATTATTGATTGGTAGCTATTTGTACATGCCTCCATAACACATATCTCTTTAGCCATCATGTTGGGACACGTGTATGCACATAGTCTTGCAAAATAAGGCATTGCAGCAGACAACAAATTACTGGTTGTGTCCGTTGTACATTGGTTTGTACTCGGAGAGAGCCATGGCCATTTCCACAGGGCTGTGAACATTGCTGCAATTTGATTCCATTGATATCCAGGTTCAGTGTTTGCCATGCCATGGGACAGCCTCTATGGGTGATGGGAACATGCTGTAATTGGAGAAACCGTCCTGCATACAAACACAACATGGCTGCTATGGGTGACCTGCCCAAGGCAGGGGTGGGATATAAGCTAATCAGCATAGTTGAGCTGATTTGCAGCACCAAGGGAATCCTATTTCACAGCAATCTCAGCTCCCAGCAAGCTTGCTTGCTTGCTTGCTCTCTCGCGCGCGCGTGCTCGCTCGCGCGCGCTCTCTCTCTCTCTCTCTCTCTCTCTCTCTCTCTCTCTCTCTCTCTAAAGTTTTTAGCCTGGCACTGAAAAGAATACAAAGTCGGCACCAGGTGAACCTTTCTGGGGAATGCATTCCATAACCGAGTCACCTCTGCTGAGAAGGCCCTTCTCTGGGTAGCCACCCTCCAAATCTTCTTTGGGGAAGGTTTCCAAAGAAGGACCTCTTCACCAGATCTTAAGGGGAGGGAAGACACACAGGGAAGGAGAGGCTCCTTCAGATATCCAGGTCCTAAGCCATGTAGGGCTTTATAGATCATCACCAGCACCTTACATTGGACTGGTGGAGATGGTAAAGGACCGACATTATACCTTTTCTAAGTAGAAGGGGTGTAAAGTTGTGCCAGGGGTTTGCACACATAAACCAGACAGGGTACTATGGCCTCAGAGAAACATGTTGTGAAATTAACATGTCTGCTTCATGGCAGTGTGAATGTCTTCACATCTAAATGTCAAGAGTACAGGTAACTTTTTCAAATTTTGAGGATGAGTCAGAAGTGAAATATGTCATGTTTGGAGATGACAGATCAGTTTCCACAGTTTAGTTAGGAATATGTGGAGGAGTATGAGGTGCTGATGGCTCAAAGAGGATTCCAATTTTGCTTTCAGCAGCAGCCACTGACTCTATTTAAGCCAAGAGCTAGCAGTGAAACAGGACTCCACTGGTGAATGCACAGCCATTCTGCAGATCACAGGTGGGCTGTCTGGAGAAGAGCTGTGCTGTTAGGTGGATGAAGGAATGTGGTAAAGCAGGTTCTGAGCTCTTCCTGTGCTATCAGTCCCTATGGGCTTGCTGCCTGAAAGCTGACAGCAAAGGGAGTCCTGGCATTCTTGTAGGGGGACCAGTACAGAAACTGGGTGGGATCATGGATGGAAGGAAATGATCACTATAGCTTGCAGATCAGCTGCTGGGAGCTGCGTGCTTGGGACTTTGCCTCAACCTTTGCTGTTTCCTCAGTACAAACTCCCTATCAGTCACATTGCCACAGGGTGACTGCTAATCCCAAAATTCTAGTTATCTAATCAACAGTTTGTCCTCTCCCATAGTAATTCTGTGTGAACAGCTTCCAAATGTTGGAATTACCTGAGGTGACTGTTCAGATAATGAAGAATGCACCACACACACATTATTTCAAAATCTCTTTCATGTCAGCACGGCCTTTTCAATTGACTTTAGGCCACACCAAAGATCATTAGAGCCATCAGTATTGCTCTGTGCTTAGCAGAAAGGAAACTTGCCAGAGTATGGCTCCATAGGATGATTTTAAACTCCTCCTGTTTGTCAGAAGCTCTGCTATAATTTGTACTTCCATTTTCATATGGCTTGTATAATGCCTTGAAGTGTTTAAATTACAGAAAGGGATTAATAAATACAAAAAGAAAAAAAAGAAAAGAACTGAGACAAGAGGCAATAATTAAAAGTATTTTAGTTTCTGCTTCCGTATCTGCATTCTAATCTACTACCATGGTCCAGAGTTAACATTTGTCAGAAATAAGTCACCGGAGCTCATGAAAAAGTTTATTCCAAGGATACCTGTTGTCTTTCATGCCTCTGTGGAAATTCTCTGTTTGAAACAGATTTGCCCAAATGGTTACTCTTGTTTTCTGTTCTAATTACTTCTTAAAGGTCTTTCTGCACAACTTCACCCTCTTTGTTTCTTCTCCTTGCCTGGCTCCAATCACTCCAAACTCAGCTTTCTTTCCACCATTCCAAGTTGCATTTTATACTCCAGTCTTTTGGCACCATGCAGACCCACACATTCCTGTATGTGATGAAACAGCTCTTTCCTGATCTCGGTGGGCCACTCTTCTGCAGGCTAGACCCGCAAGAACAGCTTTGCACAGAGCAATGGCAGGGAAATTGACCTCTTCACAGGTTTGACAATGGGGATGA